AAGAAAAAAAAAGAAAGAAGAAGAAGAAGAAGAATGATTTTCTTCATGACCCTGGGGTTGAAATGTCGAATAAATTCACAAGGAGAAGCTTTTCGTTTGACACCATGTCTCAAGGCATTCAATCCATAAGTAAGTGTATTTTTGAAGATATTTTTTTTTATATGATCCTTTTGGCAGATGAAAAATTATCTGATTTGTAACATTTGTTCATATAGTTTTAAATACATTTTCAAATTGATCTTGACAGTTTCTGGTTTCAAAAGGAAGGGAGATTGCTTCAAAGACGAGGAGTACTTCATAAGTTCAGTGCCCATGAATCAGGTTCATTGCTTCTCTTTGCATGCTCCGTAACCATTCAGGATGTACTGATTCAGATAAAATCTGGTCCTAACTGCCATTCTCTATAGCACAGTTCTATTACATTTGTTCATTTGCTTAAAAGTGTTTTCTGGGATCATGCAATAACTTCTTGGGCTTATTGTGTCAATTTCAGCATTTTGAAGCAAGACTTTCTGTTAACGCTAACCAAGGCTTTGAGTCAAACAGGAAGGTATCTTGATGTTACGAAGGAGAAGAAGAGGAGCAACGGAAGTGGCAGCAAAAGAAGAAGAGAAGCAGACGCAAGCCACAAGGGAAAGAAGAAGAGGAGGGCTAACGGTCACAACCAATTTTCAAATTCAGCACGGCGTTTTTTTTAGTTAGGAATAAAAGTGTCGTTTTGAGTTGTAATCAATTTTATGTGTCAGTCATGTTTTTCCTTTCTAACATTCATGTTTTCTTCCTTGCTGGTTGGTTATATAATTGTAGTGAGGAGAACAGAAAAGGTGTGATGTGAATTGGAATTCTTCCTCTCCAAGCCTTCTTCTATCTCTCTCTCTCTTTCTTCATCAATTTCTCTGTAATTTCTTCTTCTGCTGTTATCGTTTAGTTCAGAATTAATAAAATTCCATTTGTCATTTGAGTTTATTAATTCAAGTGGTGTGTAATTGGTGTGGTGCTGAGGATCAACCATTACACTTGATTGCCTATTATAATATGGGATTTTTAATACCTTTTTGGGCTGCAAATAATTGCCTTGAGTATTTGTCATAGACCAGCTGTTACAACCTAGAATAGCAAAAACAATCGGCTATTGAATAGGACTTAGTGAAGTTCTTTTATTGCAGTTGAATAGATCTACCAAGAAACTAGTAAGAGTAAAATGGATAGTCACCTATGTAAACTCGGTCATTATTTTATGTGAATCATTCTTTAGAACTGAAGTTATAAATTTATTTGATATGGGAAGGGGATTTACACATCTTAATGAATAGGTTGGATGCTGCTGTTCTTGATCTAAATGCCAATGATAGTGGGGGGTTACAGAAGCAAAAATCTTCCTTTCACCGGATAAGGTACTGAATTTTTTCACCCCAACCCCCAGAAAAAAAGGAATGTGTTGTAATGTGCTGTAATTGTAAAAGAACTCATCTAATGTTCCTATGTGACTTGGCAACAGAGGAGCAAAAAGTATGTCAAGCTAAACAGTGGGGATCGTGTGACAGCAAGTGGGAAGGTATTTTCCCTGGCACATGCACTTTTGACACATAAATGAAGCATAACCTCTACCTGAAAAAATGAGAATTTTGCAATCCATACCCTTTACCTGAAAAACAGATTAAAGTTAGACTTCCCCTCCTTTATGAAATGAAGGGATTATATTCAATCAAATAATTTCATTTATTTGCATCAAATCTTTATAAAAAGTATTTAACGCTTGGAATGATGCAATAACTATCATTTCAATATATTCTAATAATTTTGATTTCTATGTTCTGCCGTCTTCGACAAAAAAGAAACTTGGCACTTCATAATGGTACCGGTTTTGATTGTAGACTTTTATGCGATTAGCTTGAGATGATGGGTCATTTTGATGTTTCTCTAAGCTGTGATTAAGTAAATATTTGAATTTTCTACCTCATTTTAGATATTATTTTACTTTGATTATGCTATTTGCATAGATTTGAAGGTCTGTTACTAGATGTATCTATTGCTTGAACTTTCCTGTGTTAGATACTGAGACTTAGTTCTTGTTGATGATAAAATTGCAGAATTTGCTAATACAAGATATCTTTAGCCATATATAACTATTCCTGAATAAAATGATTTCTCAATTTCATTTTTCCAATAAGTACACAATTTTTGCTCTCGGCCACGTGCACTCAATTGAGAGGTTCCTTTTACTATATGTGAGAAAAAGTTGTTTTGCTTTGCTTAATTTACCATTAGATTTTCCAAGGTTGTTTAAATGAAATCCTCGGTGACATTCAGATAAAACCAGAAAGTGGAGCAAAATTGAAAGCTAACAAAACTGGGATTTACAGGAAGTGGAAAGAACTTTCACACAAGCATGTATCGCTTAAAGGAAGAAGTAATGAAGACACTGAAGAAGCTACTCGTTCTACAGGTATGCTTTAGATTCAAGCTACTGCATTGTATTTCGTCCTCTTCATTTTATACAGGAAATGACACTAGTCCTGTAATATACAATAACTGTCTCATTGCTAATGAACAAGGGGTGGCTTCATTAGCCTTTTCACCATTTTGTTCAATTCAGAGCTACTCGTTGATCCAATGAAATCAATATTTTGCAATCACCTTAGACCGTGTCATTTTTACGTACCTATTCTCATATCCCGTTCAACTATTGTAAGTATTGTAATATGGTATTAGATCGTCTTTCTCACATTTTCTTCACGTTTTCATGTCATGTTGTCTTATTAGTGGCACTTACTGTCGATGGTTAGAGTTGTGCTATCTCATTGCACTTTCATTGATGCCCATTTGCAGTATATAGAACTGCTGAAGTGCTTGTTAAAATGACTTTTTTATAGAACTATTACGCTAGTAATTCTCTCTCTTTTCCATTACATATGTTGGTGGTGAGGTTGCTTTCACTGAGAAAAGCATATTATAAACCGGATGGATTTTTACGTTATCCTTTAACCTTTCACAGGCTGTGGTGGATTACGAGGGGATAACAGAAGACTCAAAGGTGGAAAGCATAGGTCAGTACCAAATGCTGACGTTCGTTCAGAAATCAAAGATCTCGATCAAGT